TTCCAAATCTGCCCAGCTGTTCCTTCAGCTCTAGCCCGACCAATTCTCGTGCCCGGGTGGATTTCTACCACCCCTAAACATGTTCTCATTACTTGTGTGCTTGTTAAAAAAATATTTCCTAAAAAAAACTTTCTGAAAATCTCAAAAGACAAAGAAAAGAAGAAGAAGAGATTGTTGAAAGTTTAAGAGGATATTTGAATAAATATTTTCTTGTAGGTACATATGATGCTGGTTTGATTTGATTAATTGTGGAGGATATTGAAGCTGACAGATAGGGACACTTAGTTAATTTGTTGTTGAATGTAATGTTTTTGATGTCGGGTACTCTTTTTCCTTGGTCTTATGTTTTGTCCCACTGATTTTGCTTAAACAAGGTTTTAATGATGCCCCAAAGTATTCTCTATTATCTTTTGTAAACTCTTATAATTTGAACAGAACTTAATCAATTGATAAAAAAAAAGAAGTAATTTTAATATTTAATTTATCTATGAAGGGCACACTCTGAAATTTTTTCATCGGCCTTAGATCATCCAGGACCGGCCCTGATAACACAACCTGCACTCTGTGCACATTGTGGAAAGTAGAATACCACAACATGTAACTTATGCATAGTCGTAGGATATTTTTCTTATAGTGTTTGTGTTCTCACTACTGCATCATCGTACCTTCTCTAACAGGTAAGCTAGTAAATTAGCTTTCCGCCCGTCGCAGGCGACTATTCCAGGAGTGAATAGGACCATGCATTCGGCAATTACGTCGAATGTTTCCTTTGGGCACGTGCGAAGACTTTCTGCACTTCCTGTTCCTGACGCCCGAGTGCTTATGTCAATGTTGTCTCACATGATCTCCAATCTCATCCTTTGGGGCTGTAGATACGGTGTACCAACCTCGTTTAAGCAATTACTGCCCAACTCTCTTGATCAAACTTAGCGGCACAGTTGAATCACATTTCATAAGGGCCATACGGACTTGGTCATCACCACCTTCCTCCAGCATATCATTGGCAGTCCCTCATGCGGCGCCCCTGGTTAATAAATAGCCGAGTACCGAACTTAATTTCTCACTGGCGATATTAGATTATTTCTCAAGTTTCAGCAGCAACGCAATTCATCATTTTAAGCTTGGTACGATGATCAATCCTGATCAGGACAGTTGTAATGTCACCTACTTCATCAACAATCAGCCCCACTACTTAATGAACTATTCAGTTGTGCTACAAAGAATGCCTGCTGCTTCGAATTACAATCGTCATGTTCGTGACATTTTTGTCTTCTTGATTTCAACAATCCTGACGTTGGTCCAGATGAGATTTCCAGACGAAGTTCTGTTTCGAACACACCCTACGGCCGTCACAGTTTTCATCTCTAGTTTACTTGCATATTGCTTCGCCTTCAGTTTTGGCGGTCATGCATATAAATGGTGTCGCATGGCCATGCTTGTGTTTGGTTCACTCTCGGTTGCCACACTCTTGTGGCTTCTCTTTTTTACACACTACTACTCCTACCTCATTTTGTGCGTCTTGTTTTTGCCGGTGGCGGGGCTAGGCTTGGACCGCTTAGTTCTTAAACTGTTGCAAGAATTACGCAGGGCACAAAATAGCATTAGTCAGAGGGCATGCCCGCCTTTGCCAGTGACCTCAGTGAATATGTTACACAGACCAACTCGTTTCTCAAGTGTTATTGTTTCTCACATAGAATAGGGCGTACATAAGTCGTATGTGTGGTTCCATGACCTCATGGTTCCCACGTCTTATGAAAGAGTTGGAGAAGAAGTTAGTGCCCAGATTATTGTTAGTTCCATCCAATACTACTATATTGTTTTAAGACTGCTCTATGTACCATTAGGCTATGAAATGTTCAAAGTCAATTAATTATTCACATAATATTTACAATAATATGAGATCACAAATTTGTTCAGTATCGTATCAAAAATAAAATAGCGAGGTTCGCATGATGAGTCCAGATTTTTTAATAAGTGATATATTTATTTTTAATTAATAATATATAATATAGTATAATAATTAAACTTTGTAAAATGGTGAAGCTTTGACCTTTTTTCAAATATATAATATATGTAACATATTAATCTATTCATTAATTTTTGTCCTACCTCTATTAGAACGAGACTGATATGTATTAGACACACTTATACTAGTCCTACCTCAAGATGATAACAGACACACCTAATAATGGTTGCTTTGCTTGAAGCAAATAGGCATTCGTGTTTCAATTGCTTGACTTTCACGCCAAAGCCCAAGATCAATTTTCCTTTATCGTCCACGTCCTCATCACCCTCACCGTTGGATATGCCAGTACTGATGGGGACCAAGAGTAATCCATTTTTGTTTTTATGTTTTTGAAAAAGCAGTAGAGTCAAAAGTCTTTGGATATACAATGAGAAAGGATCTCCATAGTCTCCTTCATTCATCACGCCGCGTAAATCACGCCTCAATCAATTTTTGTGACGAAAATTCTTCGCCGCCCTTGATTCATACGTCGTTGACCTTTTTTCACTAATGTTTCATGCTGCCACATCCCAACGTCCTATATTTACGTTATCACTCTTTTTGCCTCATATTCCCAATCTCCTTTATTTATCATACCTCGTCATGTTCTTTTTGGACATGTTTTTCCTGTTCATCTCCCTTTATATAAATACATACATATCATTCACCTTCTATTGAGGAATTCCTCAAATAATTTTATTTGAGAGATGCCCCTTAGGGTCTCTTATGATTTTTTTTTTCAACAATCCAAACCATTTATTTTTTAAGTCTACATTTATAAATCATTCTTGCAAAAAAATTAGACAAATCGAAAATCATTTCGATATTCAATTGTGTCATATATATATATATATATATATATATATATAAAAGAGAAGTTTGTGGCTAGTAAACTCTAATTTAGAAATAACGTTGTACTTAATGATGCTTCTATGTGTATGTGTAATTTCAAAAGACTTAGGTTTTATTTGTTCTCTAGCGGCAGTGGCGGTTCTGTGTAAAGGGCAGGGTGGGTGCCTGCCCATCCAAAGTTTTTTTTATTATTTAAAAACCTATATATGTTATATGGGCAGCCCAACTTTAAAAACTTAAAAAGCTAACCCAATGTACACACACGCCCATCCAACTTCAAAGTGGTCCCAGCTTTTGTCTCTTTCTTTTGGCACAACTTTTCTCTCTTCCATTCTACAGACCAGACGACGACAACAGCTTCCTTTTCCCCTTTTTATTTTCTGCATCTTCCTATTATATTGGCTGGGCAATGGGCAACTTGGCAAAATCTTGTCCTATTCTTTGTTTTTATGTTTTTGAAAAAGCAGTAGAGTCAAAAGTCTTTGGATATACAATGAGAAAGGATCTCCATAGTCTCCTTCATTCGTCACGCCGCGTAACTCACGCCTCAATCAATTTTTGTGACGAAAATTCTTCGCCACCATTGATTCATACGTCGTTGACCTTTTTTCACTAATGTTTCATGCTGCCACATCCCAACGTCCTATATTTACGTTATCACTCTTTTTGCCTCATATTCCCAATCTCCTTTATTTATCATACCTCGTCATGTTCTTTTTTGGACATGTTTTTCCTGTTCATCTCCCTTTATATACATGCATACATATCAGTCACCTTCTATTAAGGAATTCATCAAATAATTTTATTTGAGAGATGTCCCTTATGTTTTTTTTTCAACAATTTAAACCATTTATTTTTTAAGTCTACATTTATAAATCATTCTTGCAAAAAAATTAGACAAATCGAAAACCATTTCGATATTCAATTGTGTCATATATATATTGTTTCCATATTTTTGGCCTGGGCGGCCGATGGAATGAACTTTTGGTCCTTCTTCTTTTGGATGCGGGGCGTGCCACCACCAAGCCCCGAATTTGGGCTTGAATGGAATGTGAATGGATGAATGTGTTGCGCTTCTAACTTCTGACCAAACGATTGATCGGTCAAGCAAGGCCAGGAGCCTCCTCTTGGCCTAGATTCTTTCACTTTCTCGGGCTCGAGAATGGTTAGCTTTCGTATGGATGTTTTTGTTATTTTTATGGTTTTAAGTAAAAATAATGCAATTAAACTAAATATGCATATAAATGTAAAGACAAGAATTGAAGTGCGATAAAATAATCAAAGCGATAAATAAAGCGAGAATGAAATAAAAGCGATAAGAACGACAAGAATGATAAAAAGAAATAAACTTGAAATTAAATTTATCTATATGCATCACTCCAAAACAACTTGCCCATTTTGCCAAAGTTCCGAAAGCACAATTTTGGAGACCAGCAAAAAGACCTGGCCACAGCTTTTATTCATCCAAGTATATATATATATATATATATATATATATATATATAATAAAACAAAGACTTTTCAGCCCAATTCGCAAAGAGATTAAATATCCCAGCCGCATCTGCTCAAAACCAAAAACTCGGATCCGTCGTAGAACTATATGAGAAAGACGTCGATATATTTATCTTTGCCATAGTTGTACATTAATTTAATACGGTGGTATTTTGTATTATACCGCCGTGGATTTATTTGTAATTATACGGCTCCTTATACGAAAACTTGGTCGTGTTAATTTCTGAGTAAAAACGGCGGCTTTTTTTGACATCGTCGTCTTTAATTTCTACGTCGGTCTATTCATAACTTCTGCCGTTCTTTGTTGGCTTAGATTTTACTCTGCGGGAATCCAATTTCAATAAGACGACAGTTTTTTAATTAGGTGCGTCGTCTTTTAGGAACAACCATTGGAACCTCCATTTTTTAGGTGTCTAAGGTGTTATTACACGGCGGTTTTATAGAACCGTTGTCTTTTAAAAAACAACGACGGTTTTCCCTTAGACCGTCGTTTTTTTCTGGTCGTCTTTGTCACTTTTTGTAGTAGTTCAACACTATATATTAAGTAGATGCATATGGAAAGGAACACATCAATCTCAATTGTGCATTAACTACAAGGTCTTCTCCTCTATCCTTTCACAACACACAAACAATGGCTTTCCACACTCGCTCTAACAGCTTCCCGTCTAGGCCACACTAGGTCCTTCAAGAAGTTGATGAACTCTTGTGCAGATTGAGATCTTCTGAGGCCACCTCCACATCTTCATCTTCAATAATCCACAAACTAAGTGGTCTCCAAGACTTGCATGATTCTGTTAATAGGTTTCTTCAGTTGCCCCTCACTCAACAAGCCTTAGCCCAAGAGCAGAATGAGAAATGGACTAATGAGTTGTTAGATGGCTCTCTCAGGTTGTTGGATGTTTGTGGCACTGCCCTCCAGGACCTTCAATCGATCATGCAAAGAAGGCTGGGAGGTGAAACTGAAGCTCTTACAAGTGAGGTTTGGAAATACTTAACCTCTAGGAAGATGGTGAAAAAGGCAATCCAAAAGGCTATGAAGAATCTCAAGGCAGTCGACAACATATCCACCTTCTCTTCCCTCAACAAGGACAGTAAGACATTTTCCATTGTTAGCAAGTTGAGAATGTTGAAGCAATCACTCTCGCAGTGTTTGAGTCACTAGTTCTTTCATCTCCGGGCCAAAATCACAGCCAAGCAACTAGTCAGTGGTCAAGATGATGCAGTCAAAGAAATTGTCTTGTGAGGAAGCAACAAAAACAAATGAATTTGCAGAGGTGGGTGCTTGAACTCACTCGTCGTCTTTTTTTGTTTTCGACACATATATGGAGGCCCCAATCCTATGATATATGCTGACATGTTGACACCAACTACTAAAGTCACCTCACCTGAACAAATAGTTACCATTTTGTTATAAAGACCAAAAGTAAATTCAAAATAACAAAAGAAAAAAACTATAATTAAAATTCAAAGAAAAAGAAACGCCTAAACCCTAAATCCTACACCCTAAAGCAATCAGCCCACCCCCGAAAACATCTTCCGAAAAGTTGAATTCAAAATTTTCAAGAGACAGAGACCAAAAACTAAGAATAATTATAAATAATTAAAAAAAACAAAACAACTATTATAATGTGAGTGTTCGACCAACGGCGGAAACTATGATTTTTTAACGGGTGAGCTAACTAAAGTTATTGGCTTAAAATCTAATGATAATTTTTCTTGTACTTTATAGTTTTTCTAGAAATAAAAAATATATTAAAGCATATAAACCACGCTAGTTTATAGCTCCATGAACTAATTTCTAATAAGCTTTAACATAAAATAAATACATGTGAAATGCTCCCAAAAACACACATAATATCAAAATGAAAATATGTTCAACAACAGAATTGAAATCTTTTGTTATTGTGTATGAATCGGTATTGTCAGCAAATTCTTTTTCAATGTAGACAATAATAGAAACGGCTATAAACTCATTCTTCATATGAACCGCACCTCGCCCACCCTTTGGACTACCTAATTAAAAAGAGTGTCGTTAATATTGACAACAACAAAAAAACAATGGAAAAAGTTAGAAAGAGGTAGAGAGTTAAAGTCATGAGTGTTTACTAAGGGATTATTTCTTATCAATGAAATGCATGTTGCTTTATCATACAACGCGTTCCAGACAATAAGCTTACTTGCATTAACAAGATACTCATCAGGCACCATAAGGAAGAAGAAATAGATGCAAATGAATTTGCAAATATGGATGGAGCTATCAACTCATTTTTGGTCATAAGACAGCAAAATCTGATAACATCATTGAGAACACACAAAACCAACTGCAAAATTTGGAGTTGTGCCAATAAGATCTAGAAGAGTCACCTGAACACCTTTCAAGGCCTTTGATCAAAACCAGAGTTTCCTTCCTCAACATCCTCAACCACTAGCTTAGGATGTTAACTTAGTTATGGATGATTCATCCAAAATTGATTTGGCTCATGCTTGTACATGAACAATGCTTACAATATATTTTCTCGGATACTCAATAAATAATTTCCTCTCTACAATTTATTTCAATATTACAGTATTTTTTTGTTCTCATAAGATTTTTGGGAAAATTAATACCAATGTTTGAAAAATCGCTAGGCGGTAGGCAGGGGCCTAGCCCAGAGGAGTAATCAGTGCCTAAGTGGGCGCCTAGGCATTTCTTTTTTTCTTTAATTATTTTGTACTGTAAATTATAAATTTATACCAAAATTATTACAAAAATGTATATATATGAGTCATGATATATGCTTTGATATAAAGCAGAGGGTTGAAATAAAAACACAAATAGGTTATGTTTTAGTATATGGGTCCAAGCCAATAAGAGAACCTTGTTAAAATCCCAGCCCATAAGTGAAACACAGCGTTTCACTAACCCTATCTTCAATTTTTTCGGACGAACCCTATCCTTGCTTATCCCTCATCTCTCTGCCTCCATCACCTCCCATCTCTCTCTACCTCCATCGTCTCTCCTCTTTCTCTGCCTCCATCATCTCCTCTTTCGCACCTTTGAAATAAGATGAGTCTAGCAACAGCTACAAAGAAAAGAAGAAAAATTCAAAGATACCTCTGACAAGTAGAAAAGAAGCTGTCGCTGCTATTGATTGGGTCAAGAAGAGTAGAGAAGCAGCCACCCGACCCACCCAGGCCCCCAGACTTGCCCAGGTGCTGCCTAACTCCCTGGCGCCTACTCCTAACGATTAGGGTGAAATGGAGGCAGCGTCCTCCCGCCTAGCATAATATTATAAAATGAGAGATGTATATAAAAGCATTGGAGTACTAAAAAGAACCTGCTTATTTTATATACATTTCTCTATAAAAAAACCCCCCCCCCAAAAAAAAAAAAAAAAAAAAAAAAAAAAAAAAAAAACTACTAAAAATAAACTTAAATACTTGAAGGCCAAAGTCACAGACAAGCAGCTGGTCATTGGTGTCCAAAAGTCACATACAACCACTCATAAATAATCAACTTTCAGTAGAAAACATAATACCAAGAGAAATTTTGGACCTTTGGATGAACCTTAAGGCTAGGGCTTCCTTCTGTTGGAATGACAAACATGATACAATTTGGCATGTTCCCCTTCCATTGGAAGACTGTTAACCAATGAGGAAGGAAGATTGCTTTGTAATAAATATAGTCCTTTTCTCCTTCTATCTTGAAAAAAAACACAGTAAATCCCACATTGAAAAAACATAACATTTGTTAACTACTTAATATTGCTAACTCTTAAAATTTTGATTGCCGAGCCTAGTAATGCGGGCTTGTGACCCAACATGGGGGCATTAAAGGTGGAATGTGGGAAGGTCTTGTTAAGAAGCAGACAACAGGTCCAGTGTCGGTGTTTGCCCCTATGGTTATAGTAGGCTTCTACAAAGATGTTGAGGGGCCACGTATTTGGCTCCCAAGTTGACGGCTAATCTCAGTTGGCTGGTTGACAGCATTGTGGAAAGGCAGTTGACTTATCAGAGCAGCTGTGGCAGACATAACGGCATCTGATCTCACTCTGGGCCGACTGAGATCCGCTCTTTACTTGACCACTGACCACCACCTTTTTACCTCCCTCCTCCCATAACCCACGATTAGCTTTTTCGATTTTGAACATAAAATAACATACCTTGCATGCAAATACATCATCTATCTGATATCAAATTCATGCACAATTTTGCTTTGTAAATATTCCAATCCATGGCGTCAGTTAAAGTTAATTCAGAGAACATCTTCCTAACAGATTTGCAGAGCCCAAGAATATTTAAACTATTAATGCAAAAGTTTCATCCTCACGTGGGATAATCTCAAAAAATTCAAAGGAGTTTCTGAAATTATGATTGAGATCACACATGGAATTTTTGCAAGCAAATCAAATATCTCAATGGAGATGAATAATCAACAACTAATGTCTAATAGCATTCAAAGGATTGACTCCCACACGCTTTGAACATTTGTGTAGATTGAGATCTTCTGAGGTCACCTCCACATTCAGCCACAAACTAACTGGCCTTCAAGACTTGCATAGTTGTGTTGATAGGTTGTTTCAGTTGCCCCTCACTCAACAAGCCTTGGCCCAAGAGCAGAATGAGAAATCGACTAATGAGCTATTAGATGGTTCTCTCAGGCTCTTGGATGCTTGTAGCAGTGCCAAGGATGCCATGTTGCAAACCAAGGAATGCGTACAGGATCTTCAATTGATCATGCGAAGAACGCGAGGAGGTTGGTGAAGAAGGCAATCCACAAGGCTATGATAAATCTCAAGGGATCCAGTTTCTCATCCCTCAGCAAGGACAATGAGACTATTGCCGTTGTTAGCACGTCGAGACATATCCAGGCAGTCACTCTCTCAGTGTTCAAATCACTCCCCTCTGGATACCAAATTGATTATACAAAAAAGGTTTTGGTTCAATTGGGACAGTCTAGCGAGCCATGATGGATCCAAGTGACCACCGACCCGTTATCCTTCCACTGCCAAGAGCGGGAGGTAGTCGTTGCTCTGTGAAGCCAGCCTTCCGCGGTTCCCTCCACTCTAGAAACCAAGTGACCCAGAGCCTTCGCTCGAGCCACAGGGTTCAACTCCTGGCTTGGAATGGGTGGACCAGTAGATAGCCAACCGAACCCGACCCGCTAAAACTAAGCCAATGTTCCAGCACCTCAAAGCCCCCACTAGGGTTAAAAGCTTGCGTTACAAAGCTCGGCGGTACAAACACCTCGTGCAGGGTTTATAAAGCGTAGTGTGATATATGAACCAAGCGATGTGGGACAAGTTGCACTCGCTTTGCCTCTTAAGATCAGATTTTGAATAAGCTCAGAATTTCGTCTATACTTTTAAGTGGCGATTTAGGGAGTTGAGTGTCGAAGATTCTATTTCTCTCAAGGAGGATAAGCAATAATAAACACTTCACATTCAAAGGAGACTAAAAGAAAGTTTTTGTCTGCAACGATTCTTGTGGATGCTAGAGGATCCTCAAGACCTTGTTATTGGTAACACTGGTTGGTGAAAAATAGTAACATCAGTTCAAACATTGACATAAACAATTTTCTCCCAGGAAACAGTAAACACAGATTAATGTAAACATAAACATGGCAGACTCAGATCTCACACCCTTCTGATTATAATGAAAATTATGCTGCTTTTCTTTTTGTTTGCTAATTAACCAGCAACTCACCCTTTTTCGACATTATAGAAACACAATGGATGGTGACATTTTAATGCAGAATATTGCATATTTGCAGATCATGCCTCCTCCTTGGGAAACAATCATGTGAATGAAGGACCTGCAAAACAAGATGAATTAAACTAATGATATGCGTTGATCAGCATAATTGAATTAAATGGTTTTTGCCTTTCTACGTGTTTGCGTAAACAGGGACGTCAACGCCACTCGTGGTATCGTATATTAATTATGATTGATTAAGTGGTTGTAGCATTTTAATGTGCTAAATTAATCAATTCATGAGTTGGAATGATGGGGCGGGAAGGGACACTGCATAAACATTTCTTAGGGAACATATAGATGCAAATCGAAATCATGTTACCTCTCACTGATGATTGAAGTGGATGAGATTCCATGTCCCCCTCTTCAATCAACACTATATATTAACCACTATGAATTGTACATCAATCAAAAGTTTCTAAGTCTTCTCTTCTATCTTCTCACAACACACAAAGAAGAAATGGCTTTCCACACTCGCTCTAACAGCTTCCCTTCAAGGCCACACCCGATCGTTCAAGAAGTTGACGAACATTTGTGTAGACTGAGGTCTTCGCCTCCACATCTTCATCATCAATATGCCACAAACTAAGTGGCCTCCAAGACTTGCATGATTGTGTTGATAAGTTGCTTCAGTTGCCTCTCACACAACAAGCCTTGGCCAAAGAGCAGAATGAGAAATGGACTAATGAGCTATTATAGATGGCTCTCTCAGGCTCTTGGATGGTTGCAGCAGCGCCAAGGATGCTATCTTGCAAACCAAGGAATGCGTACAGGATCTTCAATCGATCATACGAAGAACACGAGGAGGTGAATCTGGAGCACTCACCAGTGAGGTTGGGAAATACTTAACCTCCAGGAAGATGGTGAAAAAGATAATCCAAAAGGCTATGAAGAATCTAAAGGGAATCAACAGATCCACCTTCTCTTCCCCAAACCAGGACAATGAGTCTATTGCCATTGTTAACAAGTTCAGAGAAGTTGAAGCAGTCACTCTTGCAGTGTTTGAGTCACTGCTGCCCTTCATCTCTGGACCAAAATCACAGCCAAGCAGCTGGTCATTGGTCTCCAAGATGATGCACTCCAAAAAAGTTGCTTGTGAGGAAGAAACAGAAGCCAATGAATTTGCACAAGTGGATGCTGCATTGAACTCACTCATTGGACACAAGACAAGCAAAACTCAAAACAAAAGTGTCGAAAATGCGCAGAACCAGCTCGAGAAGCTGGAGTCATGCATTCAAGACCAAGAAGAAGGAGTTGAGTGCCTATTTAGGCAATTGATCAAAACAAGAGTCTCCCTCCTCAACATCCTTAACCACTAGAGAGCTATTAGCTTTTTCGATTATGTACTTGAAAAACATACATGTGTATACTACAAATACATCTTTTGATATCAAATTGATACAATCTATTAAGTTAATAATCATCAAGATTTAATATCAGAGTTCAGAGCTGTCAAGATTCTTCTTGTGTTGAGAAAAATTATCACATGCACATTCACTCACCAAAGTTGAATGGCATTTACATTAAAATATGAACAGTGATTATATACGTGTTAAGCAATGGAAACAGTGCTGGCTAGTTTTCTGTTGCAGGGACAATAGAATCAATTACCAATCTCGTGATGTTCCTCCACATCATGGAAAACGCATACTAAACTCATCTTTGTTGTTTTTGTCTGCCTCTTGCACAACAATCAACCTTAGGGGTTTGAAGATTTTAACAAGCAAACCATCTTCAAAAAAATATGGTGAACCTCCATGAAATGGGCCAAACCAAGGTTCAAATGGTTTTAAACACTATTGACAGTTCATCTTGATAAAGAAAGCCCAAATCCACTCAAAACCCAAGTGAGAATTTGTGATTTTGTTAGAGAATATAGGTATGATATGGAATGATTCCCAAGTATATGCCAAATCATATGCTTAATAAATGATGTCACTCATTATGATATTGGGGGTGGGAGATGGGGCATTTCCAATAGAAAAAATTATATGAAACGGGGATAACACTGTTTTGCTATCTCTGGCCAATCACACTATGCCAAGTGGAAAAATTATCACGCGTGGTATAACGTGATTAGTCAGGGATAGAAAAACAATGATATCCCCGTTGCACACTAGTGTTTCTTCATTTCCAACCTTGAAGCTTATTTTATACTTCTTTAATGCCATTGTTTGTCCCTAAAAGACTTGTACCTCAAGTGATTAATAACAGTTATTTTTGCACCCGAAGTTTTAAGTTTGAATCCTCTCTCTCCCTTTATTGCTCGTATAAATAAACAAATGTTATTGTTTGCCCCCTTTTGTCTTTGCAAATTACACTCTGAATCAAAGACATGGAAATTCAAAAGGAGCTATGCAAATATTGGGTTGACAAGGATCCTAAGCCGGAAATTGCAATTGAGATGGAAAAGGTAAAAAAGATGATTTGATTTCTGTCAGCCAAGACAAAATGAAATCACGTTCCTTAATTTTGCTTAATTAGAAACAAACATACAATTTATTTGCAGCAGACAAGCACGAAGTCATTTTCGTAGTCCTAAGTTGTGTCCAATATAAGGATAATACAATAATTCACACGTTCGTTTCGGACATCAATTCATTATCATTAAAGTTCTCTCCAAACACCCTTTTATTAAAATTTGTTTTGGTCTTTAGTCTGTAACACTTGTGCAGTTTATAGAGCAGGAACTTGGATCAATAGGTAATTAAAGTTGTCCAAGTGCAAGGCATCGAAACCTTCTCAACTTCGTGATGAATTATTGGTGTACTTGGATAGGAATGAACTATGTTCCTTGCCACATACGGAATTCATTTTAGCAACTCTATAGATATCTGTATTAGCCAAAAACGAGACTTTTAGGCCTTCTTTGTCACACAAAACTACGACACATATTGGACTATTTAGTACTAATCATGTCTTGCATCAAACAAGGATTTATTTATTTAAGACCTGGACTAAGTAGGATTAAAGGCTCACTAGCTGGACTTATTTTAGCCCACTTAAATGAAGAGTTTACTTAAGACATGGACTAAGCAGGATTAAGAGTTGTTTATATAACCAAAAAGTTATTTATTTATTAATTATTGTTACAATGGAATGGAAGGAAAAGGAACTTTTAACATAATTCGCCTTTATCACTTGACCTAATCGCATTTTATTTGTCCGCTCGTTATATATTGATGTCAAATACCCTAAATATAAGGTTTATTTGACAATGTTTCAAGTAAAATTAAAATGTTGGTTTCAATCAATGTTTTCCAAAAGGAGATTTTGTCTATTTCAAGTTTCAACCAAACATTTTAGAAAACATGAAGCATTTTTTGTTATTTTTGGAAGCATTTCTGTCACAAGCATAACTAAATCAGGTTGGTTTTCACATGTTTTGCTGACCCATACCCTGCCATCCATCCCTCTCCCACCATTTCATGCATAATATAAGTTTTTGGCTTTACATATATTTTTATACTATTCAATTTCTGAAATTCTGTGTACTATATGTCTCTATTTGGGGACATGAGCTTTATGTACACAGAGACATGGATGTCAATTAGCACTGGATATATCCTTCACTAGCATTCATGAACATGAAGTTAAAAAAAATGCACCAACAGCCGCCCACATACCCCACAATTTCTTTTTTTTTTTTAACCTTTCTTTAGACCTGAGCTATGATTTACTAGATAAGATCAGAAAATCTGTTCTTCCCACCAATATTGACTTAATGCACGAAAAGACGCAGATAATTCAAGAAACTACCCAAAAAGAAAAGAAGAAAAAAGTCTCTTAATTCCTCTATTCCTCCAACCTATATATACACCCATGCATCCACTGATCCTTTCAAAAACTCAACCAAATATCACAAACGAATTGACACAACAATGTGGTGCTTTCTTTTGGCATTTGTTTCTCTGTTGTTGTTGTCCTCCATCCAAGGAGGCACAGCAGAGCAGTGTGGGAGGCAAGCAGGGGGTGCTCTGTGTCCAGGAGGGCAATGCTGCAGCAAGTATGGGTGGTGTGGCACTGCACCTGATTACTGCAGCACTGGTTGCCAAAGCCAATGTGGCAGCGGTGGTGGTGACGGTGACATTGGTAGCCTTGTGTCACGTAACACCTTTAATCAGATGCTTAAGCATAGGAATGATGGTGGTTGCCCAGCTAAGGGGTTTTATACCTATGATGCTTTCATTGCAGCTGCCAAGTCCTTCCCTAACTTTGCTAAAACTGGAGATGCTGCCGCCCAAAAAAGGGAAATTGCTGCTTACTTAGCCATGAAACTACAGGGCAGTAATTCAATTAGTTAAAAAACATTTCTTACCAATTTACCATATCAGAAATATATACTAGGGATTAATTTAGAGTGCTGTTAAACGAACCATAATATTAACTGAGTACACCCTATTATCAAATTATTTATTGAATTACTAATTTACTCTAATATAAAATGAACAAACATAGCAACGCCTCCACCGACGTCGACGACTCCTCCACCGAACATAGCAACGCCTCCTTCATAATATCGTTTCCTCCACCGTCACACTAACACCGTCGTCATACCATCCACTTCTCCACCGTTATAGTAACGCCGCCATTATACCATTATACTCGTCTAGTATTGGTAAATCTCATTTTGATTTTGTTATCAAGTGGGTTATACTGTCTTGATTTGTTCTTCATGGGCTAAAATGTTTTGTAACCTTCCTCTAGAAATTGGTTTTAATTTGTTGTTCAAATTGATTTATCCCAAATTAGTGACCAGTGTCAATTTTTTGATACAATTTGCTACCATTTTCATTTCATACAAACTATATGTAACACTCTAATTAACTACCCTTTGTATTTTTGCAATCCGATTCATTTATTTATTTGTCTCAACTAAATTACTTACTTTGCATGATGATTATATGTAAATGTCCAGGGGGTTGGGCAAGTGCACCTGATGGACCATAGTCTTGGGGGTATTGCTATCTCAAGGAACAAAACCCTGGATCTTATTGTGCCTGGGATCCTAATTACCCGTGTGCTGCTGGTAAGTACATCTAATTAAATTATTTATCGTTTAAGTTATCAAAAAATCTTAAGTGTAACCGGTTGTATATAGTTATGTGTCCATATATCCAAAATAGGTACATCATGATAAAAAAATATATTATCATGAATTATGTAGCTAGAATAATTATGTGTATTTGGACTATAGGAACCACAACCATGGACAGTGTGGAAAAGCAATAGGGGCGGACCTGTTGACCAACCCAGACCTAGTTGCTACAGACCCTGTTATTTCATTCAAGACAGCACTCTGGTTCTGGATGACCCCTCAGTCACCCAAGCCCTCATGCCATGATGTGATCACCAGGAGATGGAACCCGTCTGGAGCCGACAAGTCAGCGGGTACCGGTTACGGGGTCACTACAAACATCATTAACGGTGGACTTGAATGTGGTAAGGGCTGGAATGCTAAGGTGGAGGATCGCATTGGGTTTTATAAGAGGTACTGTGACTTGCTTGGAGTTGGCTATGGCAACAACCAGAAGCCTTTTGGGTCCGATCTCAATGTTATTCAATTGCCTGAAATTTTTTGTACCCAATAGTGTGTGTTTGTTTTTTTTTTTTTTTTTTTTTTTTTTTTTTTTTGGTGGTGGCGTCACTATTGTGACACTAAATCATGTGATGGCTAGTTATGAGAATAATTGTAACTCTGAGAAATGAAATAATAATGAACTTTTCTTTTAACTTTATGCATGTCAAGAATGTGCAGTCTAATGAAAAAGGGTTTTGACTTACACATTATTGGTCTTACGTTTGAACCCCCATGATATCCTTTATTTTTTGTCGAAACCCCCATAGCACCCTGGAGCACTTCTACCTATTTGTCATGGCAAAAGGCAAGGACAAGTAAGGGTGGTTATTGTTCAAATGAATAGTAATTGCCCTAGTAAATTTTTTTTCACCAATTGCCTTGACAACCCAAGGGCAATTACCATTCACATGAGATTAATTTTATTTATATGTATGAGATTAATAAATAAAAAATTGCTAGGTATTTATAAAAAAAATTAAAAAAAATTATGAATTTCTTGGATTTTTTTTCGATTTTTTTTTCATGGACGTCATGCTGGCGTTAGCACCCTTAGACAACAACTCAGGCTATTCTTGCCCTATGGCTTGCCCAGTCTTGGTGGAGCCCACCGTCTGTCTGGACTGTATTTGATTGGTTGAGTGTGTTTTTACAGCCTATGGGACCCTTTGCCCTGACAATCCAAACCGATAGAACTGCTCTTAGGGCCAGTTTGGCATTACTGTGCTGTAAAAATAATCGCTGTTAGATTTGCTGTGAGAGAAATCAGCTGTGAGATAAAGTAGTTTGGCGTTTGGTAAACTTTTTGTTCAAAGTGTTGTTGGTATTGATTCCCACATAATTAGAAAATAATTCTTGCATAATCATCAAACCCAATGCCCTCTTCGAAACTGATTCATGCATAATCAGAAAATGAAAGCACCTCATTAGCTTTTTTCTCTTATAGCTTTCTCTCACAGTAATTTTTAATAATAAGTGATTTTTTCATAGTTTACCAAACGAGCTGGGCTTCCCAAATTTTTTTAAAATCACTTATCACCCCAAATAAGCAATGCCAAACTGGCACTTAGTAGTGCGTGTGTGAGAAATCTCAATTACCTTGTAGTTTAGATTATCATTGTATTCAAAACAAAAAACAAAAAAAAAACTACATGCATCTTATGGTAAAAATTATAGAAATTGCCCAAATTGGATTGAATTAGATTAATCACTTTGGAGTGATTAGATTTTGAATGCTTATAAAGATGGAAAATGTTATTTGGACACCCAGCTCAAAACTTTTTTTTGTCAAAAATTTCCAATTTTGTACCTATAATTAAGAGGCTTTAAAAATACATTGAGCTGAGGTTGTAATTGGTTTGCAATTTTTGGATCAAGGCAAAACCCCACTTAAAATCACAACTGTAATTTGAATTTTGATGATCTTTCTTTGTTGGGCCAAAAACCGAAAGCAAAACCTGTTATAAGCAACTGGACTTTAAGCCCATATTCAAAATATAAAAATCAGAGAAGCTCACAGTGAAACAAAATAAAAGCTCTCCATTACTAAATTTTCAGACCCATTTGTCCATGACACCTCTCCTACCTACCCATTAGGTCCATTACAGAAAATGTATATCTATATATATAGATAAGATACTCATTGCTCTTTCTCAAGAGAAAAAAAAAACCCAAGAATGAAAGAAAAAAAACAAAAACAAAAAAGCTAAAAGTTAATCCTTAACAAGAACAGCAAACACTTGGAACATTGAGAGTAGTTATAAGCATCTCTCAGTGAGTGATGAGAGAACGCCCTAATCTGTGAGCCAAATTTATCTACAGGACCAAACTTTATTTTACCCTACACATCAAACTAATTCATTAGAATTTAGAAGTTGAGAAGGTTGGGCGTGGGGGTCAGGTTTTGAAGCCAAGGGTTATTCATTTGGGTCCAAAATGTGTCTTGGGTCCCGTCCATGCTCAATCTTGGCACTTGGAGCTCTGACAATATGTACGTAGGAAGAGGCACTGGCAGACTCAGGAATTTTTTAGCAAATGTGCAATTTTTAAAAGCTAAAAACTCTGTGTATTGAATATATAAAGCTTTTTACCTAGATTGACCTTATGTCTCTTCATGCATTTATATCATACATGAAAAATTATTTTGTAAAAATATTGACCAAGTATGAAAAATGGTTTTTCGGAATAATCATTTTCTCAAGAAAAATTTTGGCAGCTTTTTTTCCTTACACATCAAATAAGAAAACTTAATTTTATGAGATTTCTTTGTACCATATCTGACCTGTCACTCACGCCATGACATATGGAAAGGGTATGACACTAAGGAAGGCCATGGCCAACACTGGCAAGCCCAGTCGTACGAATCGATAGGTCCCCTCGGTACCCACGACTGATTCTACGCCCAATGTGGCCTTGTAACCCATGCTGGCAAGTCAAGTCCTACAAACGGCAGACACCTCCAGCTCCATTTATCGATTGTTCACTGACTGGTTCACGGCAGACAAGTGTGTTCGGCATGCCTTGCCAATTCTACGCTTTAGAAGGCATCTTGCAAGACGTTCTCGAATTCCCCGCTAGGATATTTGCTGAGACTCGTGTCAACCCCAGAAGGCACTCCCACGAGTCCCACATCAAAACTAAGTACCAAGAGAACATCCAGCACCCTCTATAAATAGAGTCTCTCACCCCAGATACATGGTAAGACTTTTGACTTGACACTTATGCTATTACATTGTCAATAGATTGCTCTCCTCTTCTTAAACTAACCTTAACATTGAGGGCTTTCGGCCGGTACTACACTTGTGCCTTAGGTTTCATCTACTATTTTCTCTCTTTGGCCCAGATCCTGCATCGCCAACCAAAGAGGAACATGCTTAGCGAAGGCATATCTGGTCCCTTGATCGTCCACGTCACCTGTAAGTTGCTCTTATCACTATCTATTTAGTTTTAGCAACAACAGATTGGCGCCGTCTATAGGAAGAGATTATTAATCGGCCTATATCTCTCTTGAGCAAAAATGAATCCACTTTCATCCCTTTTTGCCGATGGCCCTGTCATTGGCCTCGCTAGCAGAGCGACCCCCACTCCCCCGCTCGACATGCCTCAAACGGAGATGCCCATTCGGCAAAACACTCTCAAGGCTCGAATGGAAGCCCTATAACAAGAAATGGCGAAGATGCAGAAGCACAACAATATCCTCTCTTTCAAACTCAACGACACTCAAAGGCAGCTCTACGACCAACAGTCAGATTCGGCCCAGCTACAAGAAGGTCTTGAGCAAACCATGCAGGTTCGGCAGGAGTAGTTATTTAGAAGCGTGCCCAAGCCCAAGGTCCCAACAAGGGTTGGGCATTGTGATTAGGAATTCTGATGGCCTCTTTTGTGTGGTGTTGGTCTATCCCTACTGGTGTAATTCTGCTCTCCAAGCTGAAGCGGCGGCTACGATCAAGGGTCTCTAACTTGCTTCCCAATGCGGTTACTTGGACATTGTGATGGAAACTGATTCTAAAGTTCTTGTCGATGGTGTAAAAGGTAGTGCAAGTAACCAAGCCTAGAGTATTCTGCCCCTCTTGGAAGATATTCAAAGTCTCTGCCATAACTTTCATGAGGTCCGATGGAGGTGGGTTTCTAGGAATGCAAATCGTGTTGACCACACAGCAGCGTCACTAGGTTTTGGGTATGTGGAACTGGAAAGTTGGGCCTACCGGCCACCGCAGTCTCTTATTCATGTCTTGGTCTCCGATGGGCTACCGTGCCCTCCTAGCAACTCTTTGTAAGGTCGTAGACTGAGTGGGGAAAAGCTTCATGCTGGTCTCTATCGAGTCTTGTCATGCTTTTTCTTTTTCATTCTTTGTACTGTGAGGCTTTGTCTCCTTTTGTGTGGTGGTCTGTAGTTGGATTGTTGTTTCAATGAAAAATCACCTTTCCACCAAAAAAAAGAATTTGAAGGGCTCTCAGCAATGAGGCTTCCAACAAGTGACAATTGAGTCGTAATGCTGGCCCAAGCAGAAAGGGCCATAATTAATACTCTTGCATGTTGGGCGAGGTCATCTCATCACATCAAAATATTTATCAATTTCAATTTTAACCCAAAAAAATAAAAAAAATAAAAGACAAAATAGTTTCTCTTTATTCATTTCAGTTTCCCTCCCACCACACCACACACAACACAATGGACCTACGACCTTCAAGCTGAGCATCATGTAGTTAACTTCTGATAGATTCATTGTATAATAGCAATGTGGATTTGTTATTCATATAATGTTGTTTTAAAATAATTAGATATTTAAATGTACAGTAATGCTATGCTACTAACATTATCAAGTATGAACCCAACAACAACGACAACGATAATACCAACTTTGCTGTTTAGACATTGTGGTTAAAGGTAGTGCTTAGAACAGTCTACCAGAGAATGTAGGTTTTATATATACTTGTTATTGACAACTAGGCAAGCCAATGTGACATTCCAAATATTTACTGGTGCCTAGGAATTTCAAACCTCCACCTATATGGATGGAGGCAGATCCGTGGACGATACCCAACTGGCAATGGCTTTAATCTTAGTTAATATGTAAAATATGACATGGTTTAAAAATTATGTCATTGTATATAAGAATGATATTGACACGTGCGCCGAACAATTTGCTGGATAGATTGAGTTCTAATTAATAGCAAAATCCTAGGAACCAGACATCAACCAACTAATCCCTTTTAGATGTGTCTACTTGGCGATGTGTCTTATGTTCTTATAGTTGATTATAACAAAGGTCTTATCATGCTTAGTATTGCCAAAAACAAAGCAAAGGGGTTTAGGCAGACAAAACCCAAATCTAAAGCAAGACGAAATTTCTTGTCAGCTATTCATTATGCGACGATATACGAAAATGACAAAAGGATTTGAGTAATTAAAGTTGGTAAATGTCAAATGATACAAAGAGAATTGGTTGTCTGGAATCTGCAAGACAATGGGGTGTAACTCGCTATTTATCTTGTCAGCGATTCATTATGCGACGATTAGACCATTGCTATGACTGTGTGAATGGGACACATGCATTGTCCAATAGTCTTGATCTACCCACCATAGTTATAGTAAACTACAAAACTGAAAAAGTATGAATAAAATATGCTGGAATCAAAATTTCACATTAAGGGGGTCCTTCATAATATTTGTATTCTCTTCATAATTATCATGAATTTCATATTTTAAATTGGTTAAATATTAATTCCATCATCTACACTATTAAAGACTTAAAAATTAATAATTTATATTCCAAGAGAGAAAAGAAATAGAAAAATAGAGAGTTCATAAAGCGTTATATTAAGGTACTCAACTCATACATAAAAATGAGGAAAATAAAAAATTTACAAAGCTTTAAACAAAAGAGGAAGAGGAAGAAAGGAAGAAAAAGAAGGTTAAAACTATGTAGGAGTTTTTAGTGCAAATATTAGAAACTAACCTAGAAGATTTGACGGAAATGAGTATAAGGGAGATCAAGAAATTTTATGGTTAATTTGTAGACAAAAAGAACCTCATATATTATTTTAGGGTAAATATCCTAAAAACTAATCTAATATATTATAATATTATATATCATATATAATATACAAATAGAAGAGGTAAAGGAGCGGGCACACTGGTCCCATGCTGAATCTGCACCTGAAAATACATATGTGTTGTATTCGTCAAAATTTGTGAAAAGTATACATGAAAAGTTCAGCCACTATATAATATTTTAATATAATTTATTTACAATTTGTAATATATATTATCGAAGAAATAAGTGAATTTTTTTTGTATTATTAAAAAGTTTGTAAGATATGTAGAAATGAGAAATGCTTTCAAATAGCATTATTAATGTAGCTATTATATCAATATTATCTCGATAGGTTAATGAAATTGGCGGAGGTTTCTTAGTAAAATTTGAAGATGACCTAAACCCTGTTAATTTCAAAGTTGGAAAAAAAACAACTACAAATACATGCACTACCACCGTATAGTTTTATCCCTGATCCTCACCATTAACACTGATAACTCATATGAGTCATACCCATGACATAGACAAATAAAATGAAACTTGTTACATTGCAAGTGACAGAGCACTAGTAAATGAACCTAATTTCATCTGTATATTAATTTGTTGAGTGGGGCCGTGTCATTTCCCTAGTTGTAACAAGATCTACCAGTTGGGTCTTCTTTCTTTTGTGTTTTTACACATAGTAAAGCTGCACGGCTATATTCTTTTTTTTTTTTTTTTTTTTTTTAAAGAATAGTATAGCCACACGTCAATATTCTTTATATATATGCTTTTTTTTTTTTTGTTTTCCATTTATCGATAAGAGTATTTTAGAGCATTATCCATTACTATTAGGCCATTACCCGAGTCTCTATTGTCCCCTTTTGATTTTTTAATTTTCCACAGTTATTACCTATATAAAGAATTTAGCACTTTCACATTGAATACTGTATTATAAACGTACGTACGTATTTTTAAATAATGCATTTGTGTTCTATACACGTCTTAAAGGGTCGGTTAAATTTGCTGTTTTTAAAAAAGCAAACGTACACTACTCGTATTTTTCATGTTTAATACATGTATTTTTTTATAAAATTTTCAATAAGACACACAAAATTCACGTATTATACACATAATTCTCACATATTATTGAATAAAAATAATATATATTTAAAAATGTAAATAAATTATATTAAAATTATAGTGACTGAACTTTTAAGTTGTAATTTGCAAAAAATTTATTGAATAAAACACGTACGTATTTTATGTGTATTTTTCTTTGTGTATATCTATATGTGGCAAGATATAAGTGAGTCGATATCATTGGAGAAGAGAGAAAGTATAAACTGAGGTATAGTGCTAGTGGTGTAAACTTCATAAGCTATAAACATATCAAACACTAGCCATGCAGTTGAAAAGCCTAAGTAAACAGAAGAGAGTTCTTCTCCTAGAGCCGATGCCTTAGGTCCAGTTTGGGATTGCTGTCACTTTTAAAAAAAGTTGCTTCTGTTGTGCTTTGAAAATAATTAGCTGTAAAGTAAAGCAGCTCCATGTTTGGTAAACAATATTTTTAAAGTGATGTTAGTACAAAAAGCAGTGTCAAAACCGTTTGGTAAGTTTTAATATAAAATTGTTGTAACTGTGAATAATGACTAAAATAGACATGATGTTAAAAGTGTTATGTACTAATCATGTGGTAGTAGTGGTAGTGATGGAGTGGAGGTGGTGGTAGTAGGGATGGCGCTTGTGGAGGTGGTGGTGGTGACAGCATGGTGGTGGAGGTGGCAGCATGGTGGTGGTGGTGGTGTTGGTTGTGGAGGTGGTGGTGGTGGTGGATGTGGAGGTTTTGAAGGAGGTGGTGGTTGTGGTGGTGGTGGTTGTGGTGGAGGTGGAGGTGAAGGTGGAGTTGGTGGTGGTGGTGGTGGTGGTGGTGGTGGTGGTGGCCGTGGCGATGGCGGTGGTTGTGGAGGTAGTGAATGTGGTGGTGTAAGTGGTGGAGTTGGATGTGGAAGTGGAGGTGGTGTTATTTTTTAAAATGAATGATGGTATTTTGGGAATTAAAAAAATTCATTAAAGGTTCATCTCTGCTTCTTTTGAAAGTAGCTTTGAAAAGCAACCCATAGCCTGCTTTTAAAAGCTGCTGTCAAAAGGCCACTGCTTTTAAAATAATCGAGATATTTTATTTTTACCAAACACCTAAAACTGCTTAACTTTAAAGTGAAGCAGGTTTTTGGTGAAAAAAAGCAATCCCAAACGGGGCCTTAGTCTCAAGTTTCAAATGGAGTGAATTACTTTATGAGTTGTATATCATCGACTGAGGAGGGAGCCCTCTATTTATACGCATTCCTCAATGTGTCTTACCCATCAAGAAACACTAAGAGAATCCTTAATGCATGCAGTCAAGGAGATGCATTATGTGTAATAACATATAAAGGATGAAACATGAGCTAAAGTGATTTTATTGGAGCTTAAATAAAAAATATAATCTTTGTGGCTTCAAAATGTAAATTATTTTAAATAAGTATTTCCAATGGGTAAGTGTAAAGAACTTCATATTATTTTAAATAAGTATTCCTGATTTTGGAGAAATTCAATTCTTAGGTAGGAGGTGGTATTCTAATTCCTGTAGAACTAACCCATTAGGAATTCATCTTTTAAACCCATTATATCCCCACATAGTACCCCTCCTACCCTAATTCTATATGAATCGTTGAGGTGTAAACCTTTAGAATATCAAGTGTAATAACAATTGTTAAAAACTGACTATAGAATAGGGAGGTTATTACAATTTGGAAGCCTGGGAAGATGTGTAGTTATTAGAGAAAGAGATAAGAGAGGTGGTAGCTTTGGAACTTGGTTTGAGATGGGAAGAGAAACGAAGGGGTAGGCTGGTTTGGTTCCTAGTTAAATGTAATCCACCGTGTGTATGAAACTAAAAGCTAAAACAGCGATGTATTTTCTCATATGTTGTGGAAATACAGGTCTTCTCTTTCATTTACTGGAGCAAATGATAGGCGTTCCTGCCCAGCCACCAAACAATCTAGGGATCAACCATCTTGCCTTCCATGGATTTTTCCGGCTTCTGGGGTTCAATTGACCACCCTTGCCCCAACGTGGATCCGCCCCTGATAACATATATGCACACTCTATGTGATATTTTTATTCACACTAGAAATTAAGCATCAACTTTTTCTACGACTTTTTCCGATTCCAGTTATATGCCATAGCAAATAAAAACTATTTCTGACAGCGATTCATTGCAATCGGAAATGAATATTTACTTCCGACAACAAAAATTATTCGTTGGAAATCGACAACTATTTTCGACAAGCAAAACATGTCGTCGGTAAAATGCAATTATTTCTGATAGCACATAATTGCCCTCGGAAATATAGACTTATTACACAGAAGACATATTTTCCTTCATAAATAAGTGACTATTTCCTAGGGCAAAAACAGCCCTCAGAAATAACCATTACAATTCCCACGCCCATGCCTTTTGTCAGTAATACAGCTGGCACCAAGGCTTCCCGCCTAAAAATAATGTATTTCGGACATCCAAGGAGACTTTTTCTGAGGGTACATTCACAGTCGGAAATAAAATGCATCATATTGACATATTTCTGACAGCCAACGTTTTTCAGTTAAAAAAAAGACATTTTCCGATGATATTTAGGGGCCATCGAATAAAGTCTGTCGCAAAAGGCCATTTTTGTGTGTGGTAGTGGCAATAGAACAATGAATGTCAATCCTTATAGAACTAGGAACCTATCAGCTTTTACATCCAAACACTTGTATAAAAGCTGGTCGAGATATGCTTGAGTTCTTGATTAACAATGAGTCTTTGGTAATCCCACGCACATTTAGTACATCACGGTTGCTTGTTGATTTAAGAGCAACATATCATGTCTCAACTCATTTCATATATAAATCCATGCAGTTCCTAATATATATATATAACAAATTAGGTTTCCAACATGAATTTTAACGTCGCTCACCTCTAATCCAAAAGTAGGTCATGACACTATAACTAGCATACAAAGGAGACGACTTGGGGAGTGGTGTTAATGCCTACGATATATATAACTGGCATATAACTAGCCAACTTATAAACTATAAGCGTGCCTCACTCACTCGCCAGTTTTTATCTTCATTAACATGTATACGTATATTTAAACATATAATTTTAGACTAAAAACCAACAAGAATTATACTGCAAAGCACCATTTTCTGCACTAGTCTCCGTCTAGTTCTAAGTGCAAATTCTTGGAAGACACATCAACCAACTAATGCTCTTAGTTAGGTCTTCAAGCCAGAAAACTAGGCAATTCTTGGAGGACACGTCAACCATAGGTCTTGAAGCCAGAAAACAATACGGCGATAGATCTTATGTTACCACAAGCAACCGAACATCACAATGACATTGTATTGAATTAAGGTCTTACGTTTGTGTTGAATTTGAATTTGCAAAAACTATATAATCTGCAAATTGCAATGCAACTGTAGAACTCAGAATATGTTCTATATATGCCAAATCAAAGATAGGCCAGCACAATAAAGTCAAAACATTTTCTATATATATATATATATATATATATATCAAATGAGAGGTAGGCCAGCACAAGAAAGTCTCATGTTGTTTCCACAACATAGAAAACACAAAAATGGCTGTGTTGACAGCCAAATCGAAAATGACAAAGTGGCGATTGGAATAATTACGTCGACGTCAATGTGCTTGATTTGTAAAGCAGTGGATCGATCTGATACTCTTTGTCAACTGCTGCCTTTGTATTGTTGTAGAATCGGTATCATTTTGCTCCATTTTTCTAATAGTAAGGGCAAAAACTAAGATAGCCTAGGATGATTAGTGGACCCACAATTTCTTTATAAATTGGCCATTTCTTCTTGTGATTAACCAAAACGAGATAATTCGATGGCTGCAGTTAATCATTTTTATGTTTTGAATATTGGGATGAATATTAACCCTAATTTCAATGTCATTTACTTGTTCAACAACCTGCAGTTGAGGAACACACTCTATGATCACGACATTCTTGCATTTATCATTCCAACACTCCTGTCGTTGGTCCAGATCATATATCCAGCTTATCAAGATCTCTTCCGAACACACCCTATGGCCATGAGCGTTGTGCGGTCTAGCTTGCTTGCTTATTGCTTGGCCTTCAGCTTGTGGGTGCTAAGTATAAGACATTATGCTCGTGGACAAAATCTTGCATATGCTCATTTCTGGTGCCCTATGGCCATGAGGCTGTTTGGTTCAGTCTCGGTTACTTCACTTCTCTACATTTTATTTCCCCATGACCCCTCCTGGCAGCCTCTCATTTACATTTTGTGGGTAGCTCAGTTGCTGCTGCTGCTGGCCTTGCTCCGGAAACTGGTGACCACCACATGCCCACTTTTGCTGCGACCAGAGAGGATAGTCAATACTGGGCCCCACTATATCATTCGAGTGAATGAATGATTTCATAATATCGTCACGAGGTGTTACTAATTCACCTGTATTTTTATTTTTTTGGAGCAATTCGTAGAAGATAAACTTGCGGCCTATAGACCAAGCTAGTTGGTATGAAAGGTTCATACTTTAAAATATAATACTAATAAATATATACATGTTACAAAGGTAAACTGATAACACCATGTCACATGTCAGGTGTTATTGAACTCAAAATTTTCTCTATTCATCGGAGGACCAATGTATCGATGTTGAAATAATGCAACAATATTATGAAACTTAATATTCTTAAGTGTCCTATAATTTACTATGAAATAATACGACAATATTATTTGTGGAGCTTGTAGTCCAAGAGATACTTACCTACTACATGTATATTCATTTTCTCATTCTCTCGCCACATAATTATAATTATCTGATTACAAAAGAATAAATAAAAACGCAAATCTAAATGCGATATTCCTGGAAGGAGCAAAGCAAACAAAGTCTACAAATAAATTAAAGAAAATAACTAAACCACCGAGCTAGATGGCCCGCCTGGGCCACCAAGTTAGTGCTTTTGCTTTGCTTGGGTCATGGTTTGTAAGTTTCTGAGCCACGTGGTTAGCCTTGGTGTACTACTGTTGCTTTCTGCTTTTTTGTTATTCTCTGTTGTGCCTCTCCAGCTTTTGGCTCTTTTATTGAAAGCTGAATTTGACCGACAAAATAAAAAAATAAAAAAATAAAAAAAATCTTGTGCATTTCGTTGTCCTCGTTGGTGGTGGTGATGGGACAAAACCGTGACAGAAGGACATGTGACCTTAATGGATTTGACACAAGGATAGTTAATCATGTTGCACTATGTTAATTTAACGAGTGTTGTTATTTGTGTCATATTAACTGAACATTTTGTGAGTGTCTTTCAAATAAATACATTACCAACATAAAATGAATCCCGCATAAATCAATCTTAATTTTATTAGAAAGGTGATATACACAATATGATTGATTGAAATGATAAAAATAATTTTATGTTTTTCCAACAAATGACAAATGGTTTTATGGTTTGCCAATAGTGAATGACTTTTGTGGCACATGAGATTGTGGATGGCCAATAAGAGCACTTCACCTACAAGGATTAAGTCTAAGGTAAGGGCAAGCAAGGGCTGCCACTATTCACGTGAATAGTGTCAACCTTTGCATTTGTGGTTCCACCCATGAGAGCTAAGTCTAGGGCAAGTCTAAGGCAAATACTATTTATATGAGATATCCGGAGATGAATTTGTATATAGTTTTTGGTGTGAGAAGTAAAGAATATGCCTAGGTATTTATTTAAAAAAATTCTGGATTTTTTGGATTATTTTTTCCTTTTTTTTTCTATTTTTTTTGGGTTGCTGACGTCAGCATTGCATCAGTTTGCCCTGGCAGCAGCTCGGGCTGAATTTTCCCGTGGGCTTGCCTGGGCTCGTGGGACCCACTCTTGCCAGGGCTGGCCCTTGCGTGCTGGAGCTGCTTCCTTCCCCCCTGGGCTGCCTTTTGCCCGGTTTTGAAGCAAGGGTGGACTTGCTCTAAGAGACTAAGGTAATATTTAACAAAGAAGCAAAAACCAATAAGAGGGCCAAAAAAATTAACCCTTGTTTGTTCGACAAAACTAACTAAATAAAATTTAAAAAAAAATAAAAACAATGGTAGTCAATTGTTTTTTCGCATGTGAACCACCCACACACACACGTTGAAAAGCCAGTTATTTATTACAAGGATCATCATGTCTCTTTCACCATAGTTCACCATTATCTTACTTCGTTAGTTTTCTGAGTTTTGCGCAGATGAGTCATTTTGCTTAAGAATTTTCTTTGTTAGTCATTTAACACACAAACCCAATATTGGCAAAAAAGACACACACACACAAAATCAAGAAGCACTAAATTACGGCCATTGACGTTTCAATTGCTGTATAACGACCCAAAATCTCATGTATAAAATTTTCCTTTATCATCGACATCCTGATCAGAGAAAAGAGCCACTACAAAGATATGGTTAAAGTAGAAACTTCAACACAATTGAGTTTGCTAGAGGATTCTTGAAAATTCACTTTTAAAATACAAGTAGTCTTGGAATGTGCGAATAGCGAAATCGAAGTATTATCTTAGAGAATGAAATTGGGAGAGAAGTGAGGGTAAGAAACTAAACAATTTATAATGTACACCAGTATGGCAACGTTGGGTTTCATAACATATATATGAATCTCATGCTAATAGAGGTAGGACAAAAATGAATATGGATGGACTAATGGTACATATATAGCAGTGGACTCTTTAAAACACTAAATAGTAGGACCACAATACATGCACTAGGCACTAACTTTTTCTCTGACTCTTATCTCAATTCTTTCATATGATATGGGATTAATGAAGTTAATTATGAAATTATGTAAGTCCTAATCCAGACGAGAGAGAATAACACTTGACTATAGAGTTTGTCTGTGTGATACATTCATTGAGGTCATTGGCAAAAGCGGGCATGCCCTCCGGCTAATGCGATTTTGTGCCACTAGTAATTCTTGGTGGATGCTTTGCCATAGTTTCCGAATCAAACGGTCAAAGCCCAGCACCACCACCAGCAATAACAAGAAGCACAAAGTTAGGTAGGAGGAGGAGTGTGAGAAAAATAGAATCCACTAGAGTGAAGCATTTGAGAGTGAACCAAACACAAGCATGGCCTTGCGGCGGCTCCATTTATTTGCATGATCACCAAAACTGAAGGCGCGCGAAGCAGTATGCAACCAAACCAGACAGCAAAATGGTGAGGGCCGTAGGGTGTGTTCGGAAGAGATCTACGGCTGGATATCTCATCTGGACCAACGTCAGGAGTGTTGGAATGGTGAAGGCAAAAATGTCCTGGTGGTTGTAACAACTAGAATACGACGTAGTCGAATTGGAAGCATCAGGCATTATTTGTAGTACAACTGAATAGTTCATGAAGTACTGCGGCTGATTGTTGATGATGTAGGTGACATTGCAACTGCGATCAGGATTGATCATCATCTCCGAACCTTAAAAAAAAAAAATTGATGAATTGCGTTGTTGCTAAGACCTGTCTTGAGAAATCTAATGGTGTGGGAGAAATTAATTTATACAGAAATTAAGGTCCTACTGGACCAAAATGCGACTTCGGCAAAAATTTATACAGAAATTGGGGTCCCACTGGACCAATATGCGGCTTGGGCAAATTAGGCGGATGTCGCGGCTTGGACTAATTGTAAAATTGACGTATATTCGGCTATATAGGTTGCTTTCGTATTTTCCTTCTTTCTTTAAATCAGGGTGGACCTTTCGTGGAAGCTACGTACATTTAGAAATGAACCATGAAGAGCGGTGAGAAGTAACATGGAATTTGCAATTTAAGGCGAAGCAAATGAGAACTGTGAGAAGGATCTACGCACGAGTTGTTTAACAGGCACCTTGGTTTGCTTGTAAGCGGCACCGTGTCTCAATTTATTTATTTAATTTGTTTATATATAAGCGATATTGGGGAAGGGGATTTTTTTGTCATCAATGTTCGAATTTGAGACCAATGATTTGCAAATTAAGGCTATTTTCCTCTAAGCTAGTCTTCATTGGCGCATTTTACGTGTTGCTTTATGGTGTCTCATGCTACGTCTTTTATTTTTTTCTGGTAGAGAAATTCTAGGATTGCATTCATAATTCAGTCAACAAAACCATTAGCCACAAATGACTATTACAATTTTTTTTTTTTTTTTTTTTTTTTTTTTTTTTTTTTTTTTTTTTTTTTTTTTTTTTTTTTTTTTTTTTTTTTTTTTTTTTTTTTTTTTTTTTTTTTTTTTTTTTTTTTTTTTTTTTTTTTTTTTTTTTTTTTTTTTTTTTTTTTTTTTTTTTTTTTTTTTTAAAAAAATTTTTTTTTTTTTTTTGGTTTTTTTTTTTTTTTTTTTTTTTTTTTTTTTTTTTTTTTTTTTTTTTTTTTTTTTTTTTTTTTTTTTTTTTTTTTTTTTTTTTTTTTTTTTTTTTTTTTTTTTTTTTAAAAAAAAAAAAAAAATTTTTTTTTAAAAAAAAAAAAAAAAAAAAAAAAAAAAAAAAAAAAAAAAAAAATAAAACACAGAGCCAGCCTAACATCAAAATTAAGACAATCTAGTGCGCTTCCACTAACAATCACACAGGACTGAAGAAATTCTGGTATAGACATCTCAACTAAGAGTGCAAACTCATAATAATAATAAAAAGATAAGTTAATTTTCAGTATTTTTGTCGTCTAATTTTGTGTACTACTGATAATATATGATCTACTTTAGGAACCGGTAATAGTGTCCCATACCTTAATCTTTAATCAAATACCCAAACACCAAGATTCATATCAACTTGATTCTCGTTCCTTAATTTTTTATCCTATTCCTTTTATTCTTATTCTAATTTCTATCAGAGCATATGTAATGTTGAGTAGACCTGGCAATATTACACACGACCCGTTAACACGACATGAATTCGCACGAAATTATCAGTATTTGGGTTGAGCTTAATGGGTCGGGTTGAAAACGGATGAACCCATTAGTCACCCGTTATGCTAACGGGTCGTGTCGGGTCAATTCGCGAATATTCGCATCCACCCGTTAAGGAGGGTAATTTTGCAAAGAGTTTTTGAAAAAAATATCTCAATTCCTAACACCAAACAGACGCTTCTTCTTCTTCTTCTTTTTTCTGTCATTTTTCATCTCTCCATGTCTTCCATTCTCTTTTTTAATATTATTTTTCCTTCAACCCATTCTCTCTTCGTGACTCTCACATTTTTTCTTCCACTCAACAGACTCAACTCAGACAAGAGAAGAGTGGTGAAACGAAGACCTCCATCACGGCGACGTCACTTGAGATTTTAGATTTCTTCATGTAGTTCCCCATCTCTCTCGGCCTAAGCCTTTATCTCTCAGTCAATTTTCTTTATTCCTATGTTTTTGCTGTTGTTGTTGGGTTTTAAGGTTGGATTAAATGAGAGTGACTGTGAAAGTGGTGAAAAGAGAGAGAGAGAGAGAGAGAGAGAGAGAGAGAGAGAGAGAGAGAGAGGACCAATTTTGTATGAGAGAGAGAAGTTTTTTTGTCTTGGGGGAGGGGAGACTGAAATGAAGAGGAAAAGAGGGAAGAAAAGTTTAGGGAAAGAAGAGTTAGCATTGGGCGATAGTTTTTTTTTGTTTTTTTGTTTTTTTTTTCTGTTTATTCTTAACGGGTCGTGCGGATTTTTCGCGAATTGTAACGGGTCGTGTTTGGGTTTGATAATTTTCACCCGTTAAGTTAACGGGTCGTGTCGTGTCAACCCGTTAAGTTAACGGGTTAACACGAACACGACCCGAAACCCGTTAAAACGACCCGTTTGCCAGATCTAATGTTGAGTGTCATTTCAATTTTATTTTAATAAATTGAACTTTTGACTTGCATTAAAGTTCAGTTCATTTCATATATTAATATTTCATTTTAGGAATCAATAGTTCATTTCATAGGACAATAAAATAAACTCTGACATGAAATTCATTTCAATCAGCGTTGTGCGGTCTAGCTTGCTTGCTTATTGCTTGGCCTTCAGCTTGTGGGTGCCAAGTATAAGACATTATGCTCGTGGACAAAATCTTGCATATGCTCATTTCTGGTGCCCCATGGCCATGAGGCTGTTTGGTTCAGTCTCGGTTACTTCACTTCTCTACATTTTATTTCCCCATGACCCGTCCTGGCAGCCTCTCATCTACATTTTGTGGGTGGCTCAGTTGCTGCTGCTGCTGGCCTTGCTCCGGAAACTGCTGACCACCACAAGCCCACTTTTGCTGCGACCAGAGAGGATAGTCAATGTTGGGCCCCACTATATCGTTCGAGTGAATGAATGACTTCATAATATCATCACGGAGTGTTACTAGCTCACTTGTACTTTTATTTTTTTTGAGCAATTTGTAGAAGAATAAACTTGCGGCCTCTAGATCAAGCTACTTGGGATGAAAGGTTCATACTTTAATATAGGGATTTGATTTCCCACTTCCCTTTCTCCCATTTTCTCCACTTACACTCCCTTTTGCTTTTTAATACTTTTAATCAATTTTGTTCTTTCTCTTTCTTATTCTACCCTTACCCTACATTAATTTCTTTTTACTTTACTTTTATATTAGTTCTTTTTCTTTGTACTTAATTTTCCAACTTGCACTCCATTTTCAATATTTTTTTTTCCTTTAATCGAGTAAGAAAATATATTTTTTTTTCACTTTAATACTGAAAATGGAGTGTAAGTTGGAAAATTAAGTATAAAGAAAAAGAAATAATATAAAAGTGAAGTAAAAAAGAAATTAATGTAGGGTAAGGATAGAATAGGAAAGAGAAATAATAAAGTTGATTAAAAAGTATTAAAAAACAAAAGGGAATGTAAGTGGAGAAAAAGAGAGTGGGGAAATCAGCTCTTTTAAAATATAATACCAATTAATATATACATGTTACAAAGGTAAACTGATAACACCATGTCACATGTCAGGACTTATTATAATTCAAAATTTTCTCTATTCATCGGAGTACGGGTACCAATGTAACAATGTTGAAATAATGCAACAATATTATGAAACTTACTATTCTTAAGTATCCTATAATTTACTACGACAATATTATTTGTGGAGCTTGTAGCCTACTATATGTATATTGATTTTTTTCATTATCTCTCTCATCACATGATTACCTCATTACGGAATAATTTTAAACGATTTCTCAAAAATAATAATGGGCTTGCTAAACGGACTTGGTTAAAAGCGAGTCCACAGGCACTTGCTGTCAACTGTACAATTTCCCTCTACAATTAAGGTGGC